CCCAGCCGGAGAGCTCTGCTCAGCCCCTGCCTGCACCGGTGCAGCCCCGCGGTGGAGCAGAGTTCGTCCCCGGTGCCTGCTGGCAGAGCAGGAGGGTGCCTGGAACGGGCTGCCGTGGCTGTGGGGCTCCTCCGGAGCATCACCTCGGCCGGCAGCGCCTCCTCCTCCGCAGCCGTCCCGGGAGCAGCGGCCGAGTGCCACGCTGCCTGTCCCTCACGCTGCCTCTCCTCTTTGGGGTGCCTTTCTCCGTGCCCCCCATGCGAAGGGGGTGTGCTGGGGTAGAGCCGTATCGGGGCCCCTCCGAGCAGATGGGGTGTGCCAAGAAGGGGAGTTAGAGCAGATCCAAGTCCTCTGCAGTGCTTTGCGTTGCTCTCCGTGGAGCTGCGACGCGTGACAGATGCAGGGCAGATGCAGGGCGGACGCAGGGCAGATGCAAGGTGGATTGTGTGGCAGATGCGCGGCGGATGCAGGGCGGATGCAGGGCAGATGCAGGGCGGACGCAGGGCAGATGCAAGGTGGATGTGTGGCAGATGCGCGGCGGATGCAGGGCGGATGCAGGGCAGATGCAGGGCGGACGCAGGGCAGATGCAAGGTGGATGTGTGGCAGATGCGCGGCGGATGCAGGGCGGATGCAGGGCAGATGCAGGGCGGACGCAGGGCAGATGCAAGGTGGATGTGTGGCAGATGCGCAGCGGATGTGTGGCGGTTGCACAGCAGAAGCACAACAGATGCACAGTGGATGTGTAGGGTTGCACAGCAGAAGCACAGCGGATGCACAGTGGATGCATGGCAGATGCACGGCAGTTGCACGGCGGGTGCACAGCAGATGCACGGTGGATGTGTGGCGGACGCACAGCAGATGCACGGTGGATGTGTGGCGGATGCACAGCGGATGCACAGTGGATACACGGTGGATGCATGGTGGATGCACGGTGGATGTGTGGCGGACGCACAGCAGATGCACAGTGGATGTGTAGGGTTGCACAGCAGAAGCACAACAGATGCACAGTGGATGCATGGCAGATGCATGGCAGATGCATGGCGGGTGCACAGCGGATGCACGGCGGGTGCACGGCGGATGCACGGCGGATGTGTGGCGGTTGCACAGCAGAAGCACAGCGGATGCACAGAGGATGCAGGGCGGCTGCACAGCAGGAGCCACGGCGGATGTGTGGCGGTTGCACAGCAGAAGCACAGCGGATGCACAGAGGATGCAGGGCGGCTGCACAGCAGATGCGCAGCGGCTGTGTGGGGTTGCATGGCAGAAGCACAGCGGGCGCGTGGTGGAGGTGCAGCAGCTGCCCAGCAGATGCCTGGTGGATATGGCAGATGCAGAGGGGATGCGCGGCGGATGCACAGCGGGTACATGGCGGATGCGCGGTGGATGCACGGCGGATGTGTGATGGATGCACGGTAGACGCACGGCAGACGCGTGGCAAATGCCGGAGCTGCCGTGGGCAGCAGGGCCGATGCAGCACCTTCACGGCACCGGCGCGAGGCCCGTCCACAGGCAGGCTTCTGTCAGCACCGGCAGGGTTTTTTTGAGCGGCACACGGCCTTGCACGGCCTCGGCTAATACTAATTACATAAATTGCCCTGCAGGGGAGCAGCTTTATCTTCTCAGCTGAAAAACTGTAAATTACTTTCTTTTGATCTTCTGAAAGAGAAAGTATCCAGGCGCCCCGCGAGCTGCGTGCTGGGCATCGCTGTCCGGCGCTCCCGGCAGGCAGCTCCTGGCTGCTCTCAAGGGCGGCAGGTTTGGGTGCTGCTTTGTGCTTTTCCTGCCAATTCTCCCGGCGGAATGCGAGTGCCCTGGCCGCATCCTGCAGGCAAGGCTGGGTCCAGGGGGGACGATGCCGGATCCGGGCTGCCGAGCGTGCGCAGGGATTCGCCACGAACCTGCCTCCTGACTCTGCCTCCCCCCCTGGTTTTAATGTGCTCTCATTAAGGTCTCTTGATATTAAAATTCACTAACTCATGCAACTTCTCTGATTGAAACTTCTGTGTCACCAGAGCGCGAGATCCATTTTGTGTAATTACGCCGTGATTCATAATTTCAATATAGGATAAAAAATGCCCTCCGCAGCCTTTAGCCATCTCCCCGAGTGACTGTCAAGATAAAACTCTGCAATTTATGCACAGATGACTTTGCTCTTGCCCGCTCTCACCCCTTCCCTTCGCCGGCTATATTTACACCCTTGCATTGGTGCTGTCGGTAATTCCTCGCTCCGTTTAAATTAGCTGTCGTTACCAGGTGCGGCTTTGCCTCCTCCCCGCCGTGGCCGGGGGGGCGCAGGAGCTCGGCCCCCCTTGACTGCACAGACCCTTGCCCGGTCGAGGTGAATCCGTTTGCAGCGGCGGATGGCGTGATCCATCCCGGCGCTGGCTGCTGGCACGGCGCAGTGAGTGGGTGCTGCTGCTCCGGTGCCGGCGGCTGCTCGGCACAGGGGTTCCTCCACCGGCTCGTGCGGAAACACAGCTGCCACCGAGGTGTGGGGGGGTGCCCTTCGCTTTCGGGGGGGTTTATGTGCTGCCTCTTAAATCCCAGCGTGACTAAATGAGCCCCGCCAGGCAAGCGGGGGGCTCCCGGCGCGGGGTACGGACCCGCTGCGGTGCCGGTGTGGGGTTGCACGTCGAGAGGCAGCACCTTCCTCTTGCCCCGTCCCAGGGAGCTGGGGCAGGTGAGCTGCCGTCTCCCTGGCAGAGCGTGGGCGGCGGCGATGCAGCGAGGGGTTTCTCCACTCGTGCACGCCTAGCCTCTGCGTCGTGGCCTGGTTTCCCCCGGCCTCCTCCTCCTCCTCCTCCTCCTCCTGCCTCGCGTCACCTCGCCTCCCCTTGACAAGCCCACGAGCGTGAGGACAGGGCTGCCGGGGCCACGCTGCTCTGCCCGCGCTGCGCCTCCCC